AAAAGCAATCTCCCATCCACAAACTAAAGTCCTGCCAGAAGCTGTTGCTACATTAGCATGTGGCGTTTTATGAAAGCTATTATCCACGTGAAATACAAGATGGGGCATTGGAGGACTGTTTTTATACGAGGTTTCCTCTTTCAGGGCGGGCTTTGGCCTCTCTGAGTCGGCGGCGTGTTTCCTGCAAGGCGCTGGGCAGAGGCGACTGTGAGGGCTGGCTCTGGAGAAAGAGGGATGCTAAGGGTTACTTTTCTCAGAAATGGAAGAAGTACTGGTTTGTGCTGAAGGACAACTGCTTGTACTGGTACATCAACGAGGAGGTGCGTCTTTGTTACTCAGATTCGTCTCGTTTAATTTATCACCAAAATGCTAACGAATAACTTTCTTTGTTTTCTCCGACTTTTAAGGATGAAAAGGCAGAAGGTTTCGTCAGTCTTCCAGAGTTTAAGATTGACCGGGCCAGTGAATGTCGGAAGAAGTAGTAAGCATCTGAAGGAAAATGGGTTTATTGCTTATTTATGTTATTCTCCTCATGTGCAGCTCACGCATGAAGGTAAAAATAACTCTCTTGTCTCTCCAGTGCTTTCAAAGCATGCCACCCCAAGGTCAAGAGTTTCTACTTTGCAGCAGATGGAGTGGACGACATGAACAGGTAAAGCTGGTGATGGGTATGCAGCAGGCCACAATCTCAGCTGGGTGACAAATGTGAAGTGCAACTTAGCGTTTACCCCCCACAGAGCACAAACCAGCAGTTTTCATGGAATATATTGGAAAGATTTTTATTTGAAATGCAGAAAGGACTGTTTTTTTCTTTAAAAAAACCACACAAAAGTATTTAAATCTTGTTTTTTTTGTTGCATTTTTTGGTTTCGATGAACAAAAAGAAGCTTGGCTGTTATTTTGTAGTTGAACAGGTGTATTTTCTGTCTTGTAGGTGGTTGAGTCGCCTTAACATGGCGGCGGTGGGGTATGCGGAACGGGAGAGACAGCGCCAGGAACAAGGTCAGAACTCAACATCTGATGTCTGTCAGAACAATAATACTGCTGCTGTTGTGCTTTTTCAACCACAATCATCGATCACCAGAGGACCTGACTGGGGGGGGGGGGGGGGGGGGGGGGGGGGGGGGGGGGGGGGGGGGGGGGGGGGGCTCTGAAGGTTTAGTCAAGATAGTACAGCCTGGCCAGGACCGGATGATCATTGCAGGGGCCACTGCACACAATGTGCTTAGGGCCCCCCACCCTACTTTTATTTTGTTAATTTCATATTGAATCAAAATAAATTAATCGCATAAAATAGCTGTCCATATTAATAATTAAAATTAAATTGTATGCATGAAAACAGAATTCAAAACAATTGGGTGTTAAGTTGCTGTGTCGTACCTGACTCATCATGCTGGAGACGCTATTGTCATCTCCTTTCCACCTCTCAAAGCTCCTGTCTCCTTCCTCCTCTTTCCTCCTCCTGTCTCCTTCCACTTGTCTTCTGTCTCATTTCTCCACTTGTTTCGTGTCTTCTTCCTCCTCTTTGGTTTCTTGTGCTTGTCTCTTTTCTCCTCTTTTCTCCTGTCTTCTTCCTCCTCTTGTTTCCTTGCTTCTTCCTCCTCTTGTCTCCTGTTTCTTTCCTCCTCTTGTCTCTTGTTTCCTTCCTCCTCTCATCTCCTGTCTCTTTCCTCCTCTTGTCTCCTGTTTCCTTCTTCCTCTTGTCTCCTTTCTCCTCTTTCTGTCTTCTGTCTCATTTATCCCCTTTTCTCCTGTCTTCTTCCTCCTCTTGTCTCCTGTTTCCTTTCTCCTCTTGTCTCCTGTCTCCTTCCTCCTCTTGTCTTCTGTGTCATTTCTCCACTTGTTTTGTGTCTTCTTCCTCGTCTTATTTTCTTGCTCTTGTCTCCTTTCTCTTGTCTCCTGTTTGCTTCCTCCTCTTGTCTCCTGTCTCCTTCCTCCTCTTGTCTCCTGTTTCCTTCCTCCTCTTGTCTCCTGTCTCCTTCCTCTTCTTTCTGCCTCCTGTCTCCTTCCTCCTCTTTCTGCCGCCTGTCTTCTTCCTCCTTTTGTCTTCTGTCTCATTTCTCCTCATTTCTCCTGTCCTCTTCCTCCTCTTGATTCCTTGCTCCTTCCTCCTCTTGTCTCCTGTTTCCTTTCTCCTCTTGTCTCCTTCCTCTTGTCTTCTGTCTCATTTCTCCACTTGTTTTGTGTCTTCTTTCTCCTCTTATTTCCTTGCTCTTGTCTCCTCTCTCCTCTTGTCTCCTGTCTCCTTCCTCCTCTTGTCTTCTGTGTCATTTCTCCACTTGTTTTGTGTCTTCTTCCTCGTCTTATTTTCTTGCTCTTGTCTCCTTTCTCTTGTCTCCTGTTTCCTTCCTCCTCTTGTCTCCTGTTTCCTTCCTCCTCTTGTCTCCTGTCTCCTTCCTCCTCTTGTCCCCTGTTTCCTTCCTCCCCTTGTCTCCTGTCTCCTTCCTCCTCTTGTCTCCTGCCTGGCTAGCTATCCTATATATGTGTATATATAGTCTAGCCACAACTTGTTGATGGCTCTCATTTGTGGGGCAGGATCTATGGTTGTCTTTCGAACTGTCACTGCATGCTATTGGGTAATGAACAACATGACACACTCTATGGATGTCAGTCAGCAGTGTAGTCTGCCATTCACCATCAAAGACGATATTACATCCTCCTTCTAAATAAACTTAAGTACCCCTAGCTGCTCTCAAAGAAAAGTCCAAGTCTCAATAGTCCAAAGTTGATGCCAAAGCTGTTTCTAACGCGCCATTGCCATCTTAGTTTTGCTCAGTCGCAGAAACATCCCGCCCACCAAACATATAGAGCGCTGTGATTAGCCAGTTCGTACAGTAACCAGGGCTCCGATGGAGCCTGGCTAGACCGACATGCAGAGCAAAGTCCTTTAGCTTCGGCAACTGACTGGTTAGATTCTAGGCTAACAATAGTGTTCATATGTCTGCAGATAGTGATGAATTAATAATACATCAGAAAATCTGCCAGTGCATTCTGATATGTTGGAAAAAATATTTCTAGATAGACAGAAGGATGGATGGATGGATGGATGGATGGAAAATGGATGGATGGATGGAAAATGGATGGATGGATGGAAAATGGATGGTGGCTGGTCAAATACCAAAGAAGTTTATGAATATTGATGAACCTGTTGAAAATGAAAGGTGTGCTCCTGATCGTGTGTGTTTCCCTCAGATTACTGGAGTGAGAGTGAACATGAGGACGACACCACCTCCAGCCCCAAACAGGACAGTCCTCCACCTCCATATGACACATATCCACGACCTCCATCTGTGAGTCAACACACACACACACACCGGTTCTCTGGGAGAAAGTGTTTAAAGATAAAACCCACAGTCAGTTTTCCTCTGTGGTTCATTTGAAAAATGTTATTAAAAAATCAAGCTTTAGGAGATCCGTGAAGACGCAAAATGACTGGAGTTACTTTTGGCTTTAATTGAAACATGAAAACTATTTCAAGGTTATTTATTCCTGTTTATTTTTAATGTTCACCCCATTGCTACTTTCCTCCCTCTCTGTCAGATGAGTGCCTACTTGGAGGGCCGGACTCGACTGTCCTCTACAGAGACATCTCGCTCTCGCTCTTCCCAGGAGGATTTCCTATGTAGTGAACCCCCGGCGGCGGCTGCAGAACCGCAGTACCATCCAGGCCCTCTGGGGGGAGGCACCACACACAGTGGGAGGAAACCCCTGGGCAGCAGCAGCAGTGATGTGCAGTACAGATGTGATCCTGTGGAGGTAAAAGGGTTACCATACAAATTAAAACATCAAAAGTAAAATTAAGAAAAGCAAATATGATGTTTTTCTACATTTTGTAGTACCGTTCCAGTCCTGCAGGGGGTAGCAGTGAGACAGGATCTCCAGGTCGCTCTTCATCCTCTCAGAGACGCTCTTGGCAGGACCTGATTGAGACGCCGCTGACTGAAGCTGGACTACACTACCTGCAAACTGGACCTCTTGGTAATCCATCAGTTTGTTTGGTTGTTTATAAGTGTGCTATGTAAATAAAGTTGTGATTTGATATAATTTGATCAATTAAACCACAACATTTCATCTCAAGTGGTTCATCTTTAGCTTTTTTTTTTTTTTACTATCTCCTTACCCTGGGATACGGCTCTTCATTTAGGACTTCTGATTATAAATTAGGATTAAATAATCTCCACACAAAAGAAACTTCCATTCATGAGCTGGAGAGATCAACTCAACAGTCAACTTTCTGTTACAGTTATTAGCTTCATGTCTCTTTGTTCCCCTCAAAATAACCACACCCTTTTTAATAAAAAAAAACTGTCTAAAAATAAATCTACTGCATTTGCAAACATTTTCCTCTTTCCAAGTTTCCCTGAAGCTTGTATGAAGGGTTAGTCCAGTTTAGATTTGGAATTCTGGATTAGAAATTAGGGAAATCAGCTCCTATAATCAGTGCAATCTAATTATCAGCCCAATGGTCTGCCAACCAGTCTTCCAGAGCTGCAGCCCAGTCAGTTTTGTGGTTTGAAAAAGTTGTGTTGGCAGCAGTCTCTTTGTCTAGGCATGGTATAGTTCACCGTGTATACTGCCCGAGAAAAAATGTATCAGAAAGCAGCTCAGATGGGTCTAAAAGTACACTACAAAGAGAGGTTCTCCCTTAGAGACAGGGTGATAAGCTTGCTCGTCCGGGAAGGGCTCGGAGTAGATCCGCTGCTCCTCCACATCGAGAGGAGCCAGTTGAGGTGGCTCGGGCATCTGGTTAGGTTGCCTCCTGGACGCCTCCCTGGTGAGGTTTTCCGGGCATGTCCAACCAGGAGAAGACCTAAAGGAAGACCGAAGACACGTTGGAGACACTGTTTCACGGCTGGCCAGGGAACAGGTTGGGATTCCCCAGGAGGAGCTGGCCTGAGTGGCTGGGAAGAGGGAAGTCTGGACCTCTCTGCTTAGGCTGCTGCCCCGGTGACCTGACCCCGGATAAGTGGACAATAAGGGATGGATGGATGGAGGGAGGGATGGAGAGAGAAACACTCTTTCATTCACACATGGCTCCTCTTCTCTTCTGGAACTGATGCCCAACTACTGGAGAAATGTCATTCTGCAATTTCTGTTCATGCAAGACAAACTGTTATTTTCGTCTTTAGTTCCTTTGGCATGATCTGCCGGTCTCAGTTTCAGTATGTGTTTGTTTTATGTCCATCAGCTTTATTTTTCACTCTGCACCTTCTTCTCTAATCAGCCCAGCTGAGCCGTGCCGTCTCACCTGGGCGCTGCACTATTTGAGCTCTCCTCAGTCTCTGCCTCCCTGCCAGGATATCACCAGCCTTGTTCCAGTAGACATCCAGCGCTTTTGGATTGCATATTTACCTGTGGAGTCTTTTCTTTGATTGCTCACCTGTTTATCTCGAATAATCGTTGAAATTTAGTTTCCTAAAATATTTAGTTGTTGTTGAACGAAAATCTGGCATTTCTCTCTCAGGTATATATCAGTGGAACATACACATTCAAGGGTGTTCTTTAAGGTAGCCGAGTCAAGCTGTTCTGAAAGTTCAAGTCAAAAGTGCCCCCCTTGTCTTTCATTCTCTCTCACAGAGGACGCCGTCTTTGCCGAGCCAGGCCCGGGAGGTGGTTCGATGATGGCCGGAGCCGTTTACACTCTCCCTCCACAGAGGAACGTCCCGTTGCCAGTGGCGATGCAGAGGCTGATTCCTATGGCAACCCAGGGAGGGAAACCCCGCAGCTTCACGCTACCCCGAGACAGCAACCTACACACACTCCTCGCTCCGCCGATGAGAGAAGAGCAGCACACACACAACGGTGAGTTCAGTTAAATTCAAGATGCTGCGTCTTTGCTCTGCATGGACGCCTTCTGTTCTGGAATTAATGTGAATTAATGATATCGTACTGAATAAATAATGAAATAAACAGCTTCGCCACTCAAGCAGCTGCATGTCGAAAGATCCAGCTTCACAGCAAGTTTGAAAAACTAAATAACTCCCCTCAAATAAAAAAAGAAGAGCTGCCAATAGATCTTTATATAATTGAAGGTGTTATTTAACCTGGTGTACAAACCAGAGGAGCTGCTTGTCAGGTTGAGCGTTTGAAGTGTTTTGAAGAGCTTCCCTCAGCTCCTCTGTGGATCCAGACGTTCCCAGACGTGTCTGTTTATGTAATCCCAGCTCAACGGAGACATCTATCGTTCCTAAGTGAAAACAGCTCATGGTAGCTCTCTTTTTTATGTAATATTTGTGTAAAACCAGCCTAAAATCACCAAATAAATGATGTGGTTTTTTGCTAGCTGTTTTAACTCATTTGTTTAGTTTTTTGGGTATTAAAATGTTTACAGAGCAACATTTAACGTGTGTTATTGTGATTTTAGCCTCTGATAATCTACAAGCATCAGTCATTTAAAAAGGTTTTTAGACTAATTTTACCGTTCGCACATTCTCAGACTCGGTCGGACGTGCTGTGGGATCTGACACCTTTCATAAACCGAAACGAAAATCCATGGGATCATTTTGACGCACCTGCACACACTTTCCTCCAAATGTGTCTGTTGCAAAAACTCCTCCAAGGTGATTCAAAGGAACAAACTGTACTCAATCTATTGATCCATTCTTTGCCCATGCACAAGTAGTGCTCCTTTTCCACAGCTCTCACCTCTCACACCCATTACAACGCCTTTTATGTGGAGGCAAGTGTTAAATCTGCCTGAAAGTTCCCAAATAATCCTCTTGAATTTACAAAAACAACGTTTCTTCTCCAACTAAAGTGAAATTCGTCTCATTATCACTTTTGTGAGTCCAACAACAGACACAGCAGAGAGGCAAAGTGTGTCTCGCGTTGAGTGACAAGCGCATGAAACCAAAAATAATTTTAAGGTGAAGTCGATGACGCAACTGGATGTGCCAGTTGCACAAAGAGCTGGTGGGCAGACGCAAATCCATTTAAGTCATTGTCGGTATCTATTATCACGCACCGCAGCCGTGCGCCGCTCTAATGAGGCTAATGAGACGGTGGTGCTCTGGTTGCCAAGGTGAAGCCAGAGGCAAGAAGAAAGTGTCAGACTAAAATAGTAAATAATCGTTTTTTTGTAATCAGGTGATGTATGCAAGATGTGTCAGAAGATGGAGTAACTGATAAATATGGATGTGGGGAAGGAAATAAAAGTGTCAGGGAGGATAAAATGTCCCTGAGGCTGTCAGAGAGGAGAGATGAGGGGTTTGTCTGCAGGTGGAGGTGCTGAGGTCTGCTACTGGCCTCTAGTGGAGGAACTGAGATTCAACATTTCTGACTGAGGATGTTGGCCTTCTGTTTCCCGGTGCAGCCGGCAGCGAAGGTGCATCTCTTGGTGACCTGTTTCGAGCCTGCGAGCAGGGCGGAGTCTGTCCTTTAGGACGGGGGTCGGAGGTCAGAGATCAAGCGGAGTTCAGGCAGTCGTTCCTCCGACGGGCCGAGGACCCTCAGCTCAACGATCGCCTGCACCACCTTCGCATACTAACCTCTACGCTGAAGGTGGGACACAAAACATACAGTTTACCAACATTTTCTTAAAAATCTTAGTTACTAAAGTTTTTACACTGGAGGCGAGCGTGCACAGGGACAGATTTAGCAGTTGCACATTAATAAAGTACCTTCACGATGAGGTGTTGCATCCTTCTGGCATCAGTATAGACGTTTATTCATCTGAATTTTTCATTGACTATAAAATTAAGTTTTCCTGGATTCTGCACTCTAAAAAATAAAACGTTAGATTTAATTAAAGGTGTTCAATACATTTTAGATATTACTATCATTAAGCATTAATAATGTTTGAAATTGATCAAATCAAATGTAACATTATTAATTACACCCCTAGAATGAACAATTGTAAGTATATTGAAAATAAAACTATGAATTAAATTTAAAACCCCTACGTTTCGTTTCTTAGAGTGTGTTGGAGTTCATTTGTTCACTTTTAGCCCTCCTACTGTCCTAATGGGTGTGACCCCGCGAGGAAAGTTGACCGTTGAGCAGGATTGATGGTTTATCCCTTGAGGTCTACGTGGCAGGGGTGAGGAGTGAGTACCACCTCACCCCTGCCACGTGGACCCAAGGGATAAACCGTCAATCCTGCTCAACGGTCAACTTTCCTCGCGGGGTCACCCATTAGGACAGTGGGAGGGTTAAAGTATTTTCATCTCTGCTGTATTATTCCATTATTCAAAACCACCTAAACGCTTTTGTTAAAATACTCACTGGGGGTTATTAATGAAACATTTGATGCATTCTCCTAAAACGATTACAGAATGTATGACGTAAAATATAAGAGGCAGTTTTATAAATGGCATTTTTCCTTTCAGCTCGCCTGAAGGCTGCAGTGCCACTTAATGACCGACCTCAGCTCAGCCCAGATTTGTTTTCAGACACGTTGCAATAATAAAGTAAAAACTGCAAAAAGCTCCGAAGCACCAAGAGTTTTTCTCTCGACTCTTCCGAGAAGGTGCTTATGGAGAAAAGACCTTGTTTTGACTTAAATAAGGGTTTTTATGAACTCTGGGGGATTTTTCAAATTCTCTAGTGAGTTCAAGGCTGACAACATAAATCTAGAAATTTTTATGAAGTCACATAGCACACCTAACCAAAAATGTAAGGTTTTTATGCAGCTTGTTAACAAATAATAAACCATTTTTTTAAAGTAAGACTTTAATGGTGTGGAACACTGAAGAAGCATTTTTAATATTATTTCTGATTCTAATGGGTCACTCTAAGGTTTTCATGCAGACTTAACATGAAAATAGTCTCCTACACCTATCTCCTGCATTAGCTTCTGATGTCACACTGTCACTTAAAAATGGACTCGCTCATCTTGACTCACGCCGGGGAAGGCTGTTGTTGGTTTAGCGGCCAGGAAACGGCAAATAACATCTCGGCTAGTAAAAGCTAACCGTTAGCATTAGCAACATCACCACACAGCAGGACTCCTCCAGGCCTGTGTTATTTGTGGGGATGAAACATCAACGTTGCAAAGCCAACAGAGTCAGTGGTGGAATCACGTTGCTGTTATCCAATCCCAAGTGAGATGTCCAAACATCAGGAAATAAGACTCCAAATCCTGCCGTCTGAAGCTCAGCTGTGATGCGGCTCACTTCTAGTTCCTGGAAATGGTGCACCAGTGTTTTTTCCCCCCATAGTACGACCTTAATTCCTACTAGGTCTTCAAATGTACTGATTAAATGAGTGTTCCACACATTTAAAGTGTTAAAAATAACTATTCTTTTATACTGATCTTTTAGAAGGCCCTTTAAGCGACGCTAAATAGTTTTATGTATTTTAATGTGAGAATGAAAAAACACAGCTGGAAACAAATGTAAAGAAGTGAGATTTACTGCTGCCTTTATCATTTTTGTGCACCTCACATTAGAAATAAATTTCCTTTAATTCGATAAAAGTGTATTTACTATTATGTATGACTCGGATGCACATGAACATGCACACATTCTGATAAATGTCTGTCCTTTTTTATCATGTCTCACTGTCTTTCGGGTTTGGTTGGATCTTCATTCGTCCATCTGTGGCTTCATGCTGTCTGAGCAGTGTTGATGCTCCTGGCTGACATCCTGTAATCGGCTCTTTTCCTCTGGCTGTTTTTTGTGTCTTGAGAGTTTGTGTTTGTTGCTTCTTAGCAATAAAGAGGGCACGAGCATTTTGTCGCATATTTCTGCAAATTTACTTGTTTTCTTTCCATGGATCCATGGCTTTGGACGTTTTATCTGGACAGGCTTGAGTGTTTGCTGTCTGTCTGGTGTCTCTAGAAGGAATATACCAAGCTTTGGGGAGCATTTGTGGTGAAAATATCTTCAGCGATTTCCAATTAGGTGCTGGTTTCTAGAAGAGATCAAACTGGCTGTTTGTACAGCATCAGCGTATCTGCAGTGGTTGCTGTGGAAACAACAAATGCATGATTTTTTTTCCCCCTCCGTTTCTTCTTCTGCATAAGATCAAAGTAAAAGGAAACAGTGGAGGGCAAAGATGAAGAGCCTTTCTGTTGTAGCTAATAATTCTCACGACAGGACTGGATCCCCCATATATTTAATCCTAACAGTATATTTTTATATGCATATTTCCTGCCTAAACTCAAAGTAATGAAATACTTTGAAAGCCTTTATAGACATTTTAGAGTTTAAAGTAGTAAAATTATTTCCATGTAACCAAGTGTAAAAATACCCCGACAGATTCCAAAATTTCGTAATCGAGGGCAGTGGAAGTATGAAACAGTAGTGGCTGGTCTGGACCATACTGGTGTGTGTTAACGCTAAACATCACCAATCAGGTTAATGGTCTGGAGTCTGCCATTAGAGAAAAGGATTTTCCTCAAGTAGAAACATTAAGGACAATCTCCTAAGGAGTGGACAATCCAGCATGTTCTCCCTGAGGTCAAAGGTTAATATTTACAGATGACCCAAGAGCCCAATTTACGATTTCACAGGCGTCTTGTCAGCCACGACATCATATACGTAGACGCAGCATGGAGTGGGGCTGCTTATTGGAGCTTGTGTAGTAGTGAGCCACCATCTTGGATGGGTGCACAATCGCCCCAACTAAAAAACACACTTTATTATGATTTTTAACAAAATCAGACATATGGTAGTGCGTGATAATTTAAATATAAAGTCCTAACAAGTAGGCTAGAGAAGTCAATAGTAGGCCCACGTGATCTGTTTTCAATAGTGTTCCAGTTGTTGCAACTCCAGTTGGGTTTGGAGAGTAGCGAACCCCACACAATATGGTGCTGCTACGCTCTCCAGCGCCCAATGGTGCGTCTACGACACTATGCTGTCAGCTGGTTACAGGTCCTGACAGGACAATAGGAAGAAGAAAGTTTGGTGCGGTTTCAAGAGGAAGAATCTTCTGTTTAAAAACAACATGGCGGCTAAGCTGAGCTTTGTGAAGTTGCATCTGAATAAATTACAAAACTTTTGGAGTTTGGACAGATGAGACCAAAGAAGAGCTGTTTACCCAAACTACACAGTGGCTCATTCGGAATCAAACATAACCAGTTGTCAGCACGGTGGTGGAGGGCTGATGGTTTGGGCTCCGTGCAGTCATGGAGTCTACCGTGAACTCCTCTGTTTTTTTTTTGACAACGTGGTAGAATCTGTTGCTAAAATTTAAATCAAAGAATTCCACAGGAAGTACCAAACTCCCCAAATCTAAGTGTATCCCGTCACGCATGTGTCTTCCTTTCCGTTTGTCTACGTCTCGTGATGCCAAGTTTCCTAAAAGTGACCTCCCCTCCTATGTTTCTGTCGTAGGACAGGGAGGGGGAGCTAGCGTTGATTGACAGGCTGCTGGCCAATCCCCAGCTGTCATCGGCAGAGTTCCAGGAGTGGAAGAGAGCCTATCAGGACCTGTTCACTCAGGAGCAAAACTCCACCCCCGAATCTGAACCGGCTGAACCCGGGCCGCCCCTCACCCCCTCGCTGACTCACACACACTCCTACATCGAGACTCACGTGTGACACACGCATAATTTGTTTTAAATGGTCCAGTTCTGACTGATGCTGGTTTTCGGTGAAAGCGTCGCCACGTGGCATCGGGTAGACATGGGGCGAGACAAGCTCACCACAGCAGCTTCCTGAGAAGCTCCTCATGCCGCATCAGTCTGAAAGCTGATTGGTTGAGCCACTCCAGCTGACTCCAGGCCAGATGGTGTGCTGATAATCAAGTTTTACGTGTTAGCTTTTGTGCTCTGTACCAGGAAGCGTCGCACAAAGAAGCCACCATTGTTTTTGTGGACAGTTTTTATTCATCTACTGAGTGGGAATGTTAATGATCCGTCCTGCTTGTTGTGCCATGTTTCTACTGAGTGCACAGTGTCTCATAGACAGCCCAATAGCCAGCTTTGTATTCTATAAAGACTTATACTTGATAATAATAATAATATTTACCGTACTGTGCGTGTTACAGCAGACGACAATGAGCAAATGTCTTTTTTTAAACGGTATTCTTACGTTCTATCTAGATTTAGAAGCTTTTGTTTGTGCCGACTCAGTAGAATAATGTAAGGTGCTGGGCGGGACCTGCAGCATGCACCTTCCTTCTTGAACCGGAGCCATTTAAGGGAAAAATCCACCCTAAAACACAACCTGTCCTCATTTAGAGGCACGTCAAAATCCCACCACTTTAGGGCTTTAAAACGCAGTATGCAAGTGAAATGTTGCACTTTGAATGATTCAGCAGGATTATACAAATCAGATTATTCATGCTTGAAATTAGAGCTGGTTTTGACAAACTTATAAAGCAAGAACAGATATTTAAATGCTCAATTGCACATTGCTTATGTAAAGTCATATTTTAGGATTTAATTATAAGTTTAGTTGAAGTTGTGTCTCACTAAACCAGCGACAGGTCAGATTGATTGGTTGTTCTGGCAATAAGTTTCTGAATTAAGGCTGACCTAAAAAGTCCAGTGATTTTGCAGTGTAGTAGCCCCTCTCTTTGGAGGAGGGGCTTATGGGCAGAGCTGGAGCACA